TGCTGACATCGACGTCGAGATCCGCCCAGCTGCGTGAGTGACAGCTGGCTCTGCCTATCTAGAGGCAGAGCCAGCTGTACCCGCCCCCTCCCCCGTCCGTTCCGCCAGTCAGCGCTGGCAGATCGGAGCGGGGAGAGGGGAATCCAGCCCCTCCCCCTGTCACGGCAGAGAGCCGTGACAGGATCGAGAGGTGAGCGAACGCTGGTATGTGTTCGCTCACCTCCCGATCTACTGAGCCGACCTGTGACAGTCTCATTGTCACAGGTCGGCTAGAACTATGAGGTGAGTGGAAATCACTCATCTCATAGTTCTCCTTTAAGTCCCTGAGTCATTACATCCAATACATTGCGTATAGAACATTAGGATGCTGAGGGACATTCTATTGCTGGAGAGGGGGAGGAGACCGGCTGGGGGGAACACTGAGCGCTGAACCAGCTCTGAGGATCGGGTGAGTATAACATTGTTTTTTTCCAGAGCTCTCTAAAGGTGCCCATACACCTTACAACCATTTTGCTATGGTTGTAAGTTAATTTAAAAAACGTACGATCTGCCCATCTTGGACAGGCAGATCGTACTTGCGATCATCGCAAGCCTGCCCCACTGATGGGCGGGCTTACGATGACTGCAATGCTGAATGGGCTTGCGCTTGCGCACACCGGCCTGTGCGGCATTTGTCTTACGAGCACGCCACAAACCCGCCGACAATCGTACGATTCTCGGCGGGTTTTCAAGCCTGCTCGTAAGACAAAAGGCGTGCGACCATACATTTCCTGCGATTATCGTACGATAATCGGCAGGTTTATGGCCACCTTGGAATCAGCACCCTACATAAAATAGCTGACAGTCTAAAAAAGGGATATTAGACAGATTTAATCATGAACAGCTGTGTTGCTATAAGGGCAGTTATTCAGATAACCGGGTGCAAGAAGAAAGATGCATTCTTATATTCTGATGTTTATAATGGTTTATTATTTATAAAACAAGACCAATACGTTTCAATATACTCAACAGGAGTGATGTCATATACTTTCTATCCAACAGATGTCACTATAGAGCCTAGAATAAACCATAGGGGCTGACCATCAAGTCTGTGCTAACCATTAGGCTTCATTCACACTTGCCACTTGGATTTTCATGCTCTATATGCAGAGGAAAATCTGTCAGGCTAGTTGCTGTGTTTATGCTTCTAGATGCTTTCAATTATGTAGTTTACATGTATTTATGTGTGTTTACATGCATATGCGTTTATATGTATCTGGTCCCAATCCTGGCATCAAAACATGTTTACATGCATTTTGGTGCATTTAGAAGTTCAAATTGATTCCTAGATGCACCTGACTTCTATTTTTTTTAAAATGCAGATAAACGGAATGCAGATAAACGCATCTAGACGCAAGATGTAAATATACCCATTGGAATTCATAAGATGCATATATATGCATTTACAAAAGCTTTTTAAAAGCATAAAGAAAAGCATTGAATCACACATAGTGTGAATGAAGCCTGTTTCTGTAGCAAATAATTTGTCCCCTTTGTAAAAAAAAAAAAAAAAAAAAAGTTGGACGCTGCTTCATTGCTTTGAGCATTTCTCATATACACCCCTGCCTTTACTCGCACATGACCTGTAATGGCATCCCAGTCTTAGTCCGTAGGGTTCAATATTGAGTTGGCCCACCCTTTGCAGCTATAACAGCTTCAACTCTTCTGGGAATTCTGTCCACAAGGTTTAGGAGTGTGTCTATGGGGATGTTTGACCTTTCTTCCGGAAGTGCATTTGTGAGGTCAGGTACTGATGTTGGACGGCATGGATATATCTCCGCTCTAATTCATCCCAAAGGTGTTCTATCGGGTTGAGGTCAGGACTCTGTGCGGGCAAGTCAAGTTCCTCCACCCCAAAACTGTTCCCACAAAGTTGGGAGCATGACATTGTCCAAAATGTCTTGGTATGCTGATGTCTTAAGAGTTCCCTTCACTGGAACTAAGGGGCCAAGCCTAACCACTGAAAAACAACCCGACACCATAATCCCCCCTCCACCAAACTTTACACTTGGCACAATGCAGTCAGGCAAGTACCGTTCTCCTGGCAACCACCAAACCCAGACACGTCCATCGGATTGCCAGACAGAGAAGCGTGATTCGTCACTCCAGAGAACATGTTTTTCTGTTTCTCTAGAGTCCAGTGGCGGAGTGCTTTACACCACTGCATCCAGACGCTTTGCATTGCACTTGGTGATATAAGGCTTGGATGCAGCTGCTCGGCCATGGAAACCCATTTCATGAAGCTCTACGCACTGTTGTTGTGCCAATCTGAAGGCCACACGAAGTTTGGAGGTCTGTAGCTATTGACTCTGCAGACAGTTGGTGACTTCTGCGCACTTCAGCATGTGCTGACCCCGCTCTGTCATTTTACGTGGCCTACCACTTCCTGGCTGAGTTGCTTTTGTTCCCAGTTGCTTCCACTTTGTTATAATACAACAGGTGACCGTGGAATATTTAGTAGCAAGGACATTTCACAGATGGGCTTATTGCGCAGGTGGCAACCTATCATAGGTATCACACTTGAATTCACTGAGCTCCTGAGAGCGACCCATTCTTTCACAAATGTTTGTAGAAGCGTCTGCATGCCTAGGTGTGTGATTGGAACACCTGAATCCAATGATTTGGAGGGGGTGTCCTGATACTTGTGGCAATATAGTGTAGTTTATAATTTATGCATAAGCCCCTTTGTCATGCCAACTAAAATAAATTGTTGCCCATAGCCACATACTATGGAGAGGAACCAACATATTTCTGAATGTCTTTTATGCAGTCCAGGTTTGAAAATAAAGCATCTTATTGGCTGCTATGGGCAACAAAACGTCTTGTTAAAACACTTAGCATATATGCCCTTTAATAAGCTGATGTTACATATATGATTGTCTTGTTGGATTAAAATGTATCCACTTGTTTACAAATACTTGATGGAAAATCAATGTATTGCAAGTGAAGCAACAGAGTTGAAGGACTCCGGGCAAACGTGTTTTTAACCTTTACAGCGGGGCTACCTCTGCATTGCTTGTTTTTGTCTACGACAGGGGTCAGCAACTCACGGCTCTGGAGCCGCATGTGGCTTTTACATCCCTCTGCTGCTGCTCCCTGTCCAGGGGCGGAACTACCACCGGAGCCTCGGGGCCTGGGGCTGTGGGGGGGCCTAGTGAGGACCGGTCCTGGGCACCCCCCCCTGGTGGAATATGGGGCAGTGCAGGGTCCTGGGGCCCCGCACTGCTGACAGGCTTCTCAGCAAGGCGGCGGGTCCTGTGCCTCACCTCCTCTCCCGGCAGCAGGAGAGGAGAAGTGTGTGTCACACCGTCCACAATCCACACCATCTGGCTGGGATGCTGGCTGTGAGGCTTGGCAGGTGAGTCCGAATGAGGAGCGGGGGGGAGCGGGGGATTGTGGTACGGGTGTAACTGCACACTGTGTACTGTTATTTCATTTAATTAGAAATATGGATTATAATGGGCAACATTACACTGTAATGTTGCCTATTATAATCTATTTCTCTGATTAAATGATTTACAGACAGGGGGGCCACTGTTCTATCAAAGTTTGTGACTAGCTTGGAATGTGTGACCGGTGACGTGGTCACACATTTCAATGTAATCCTGCCCAGTTTTTCAGCGGTGGAATGTGTGACCGCCAATAGGTGAAGCATTCCAACGCTTTATTAGCTGTTCCAGGGCAGATCGGCATTGCAGATCGTATGTGCAGGAGAACCGATCTGCCCTGGGACAGCTGATGATTGGTCCTGAAATGTCACTTCTATCCGACTCTGTGACTGCAATCTCACATTCCACCCCACTCACAAAGTCGGATAGAAGTGACATTTCAGGACCAATCATCAGCTGTCCCAGGGCAGATCGGTTCTCCTGCACATACGATCTGCAATGCCGATCTGCCCTGGAACAGCTAATAAAGCGTTGGAATGCTTCACCTATTGGCGGTCACACATTCCACCGCTGAAAAACTGGGCAGGATTACATTGAAATGTGTGACCAGGTCACCGGTCACACATTGTAACCTAGTCACAAACTTTGATAGTACACCGCCATAAGGAGGGTACAGCCGGTACCCATGTGAGGGGTCTGGGGGGCCTCTTACATGAGTACCAGCTGTACTAGGGGCGGCATGGCAAAGGTGACAGGGGAGGGGGTGGAGGAGGCCAGGCCCCAGCAGCAGCAGGTAAGAGGAGTTGGGAGGAGGTACAGGGAAAGAGACCCCGGCGACCAGCCCACCTAAGGCCATGCAGAGCCCACTATAGAGAGTCTTAGATGGGTTATACAGTATGCAGTGTTATCTTCATTTTAGATGTCAAAAGGGTTTTGTGGCTCCCGGGGTTTTATTTTCTGTGGGAAACGGGTCCAAATGGCTCTTTGAGTGTTTAAGGTTGCTGACCCCTGGTCAAAAAAAGTTACACTCACCTGATCCTTGGAGCTGGCTGACTGCTACTCCGTTCCCTAAGGCCCCGTTCACATTAAGCGATTTATCGCGCGGTAATTCCCGCGATATCGCAGCTATTTACCGTGCGATATCGCTCTTCAATGCATCTGAATGGGGCAAAGGGTCCTGCTGTCGCGTGTTGTGTGTTGCTACAGCAGGACCCTTTTTGGAGCGGATTTTGCAGTGATTCCATTCTTTGCAATGCAAGCATTTGCGCGACAAACGCGCGATTTGCGAATCGCGCAGTGTGAATGGGGTCTTAAGCTTGTCTCCTCCTCCGCTGCAGTGATGGTTATGTCCCTTGGCGTTCTCATGTATATACACAGTGTATAGAACGTGATAACTCAGGGATCCATAGACCGCTTCAGCGGAGGGGGAGCGAGGCTGGGAAGACCGGTCTAAAGGTGCCCATACACCTATGGGCACCATACAATCGCAGGAAATCCCAGTGAAATACAGTAGAAAAGGTTGCACGTCTTTTGTCGAGGGAGCATGCTAGAAAACCCGCCGAGAATCGTACTATGGCGTGCTTGTTCGACAGCAACGGAGCGGGGCGGGCTTTGGATGATCGCAAGTACGCTCTGCCTGTCCAAGATGGACAGATCGTACGAGCTTTTAATTAGCTTACAACCATCGCAAAACAAAGGTCTTGCGATGGTTGTAAGGTGTATGGGCACCTTTAGAGCAAGCCAACTCCAAGGTTCACGTGATTCCAACTTTTTTTTAGCACCTAGACAAAAAGGAGCACATAGCCCTTGCAGTGCAGGGGTAGCCCCGCTGCAAAGGTTAAGTACACTTTTGCCCAGAGTTATTCCTTCAATATCTTTAGCTGGACATGTAGTAAGCTTATTTGTAAAGATTTAAATCACAAACTTCCCTAGTTTCCAGTGTTTAGCTGATCAATAAGAAACTGTCCATAACTGTATTCATACTACTGTGTTACAATAATGGCAATGCATGTTAACACGCACATATATGTGTGCTTTGGAGCACTGCCAATTTATTTTGAATGGTGCTCCAACACAGATACCAATACTCTGTGCATTGCGGTGCGCTGTGTTGGCAAAAAGAGTGCAGGTGTCTTTTTTTCATGCATTGAAGTGCATTGAGAGCTATTAAAAATGATTGGGCTGTGCTAATGCAACGCACACACCGGCACTGTTTCTAATAAGAGTATTCACACTTGTGTGTTGTGGTGTGCTGTAGCTTATTATAGTTGGAGGCTCTTCACATAGCAAACTGAATGTTCAATGAGATTAGTAAATATTTTAATTTGTGTTCACTCTAATCAACTAATTGTGTGCTAGTAAAAATGTTTTGTTTTCAGTTCCTTTGTGCATGGCTATTTTAAGAGAGCATGCAGTAAGTTCTCCTTATACAGTAAATCCAGCAGCACTTCACCACCAGTACTTCACAAAACAAACTATAGGTGGCAGCAGAGAGTATCAGTTACTCTATAGCAGCATTTCCATTGTAGCAGGTATTACAGTATATCGAGTCATCTGGTGGCTTAGGCCAGGTCTACACAGGCAATTAAATCACTTGAAACCGAGGGGTTTAACCATATATTGGCCTTTCCCTCATTTAGGGCCGGTTCATCTCATCATCATTCTTGCTTATGGTGACATAATGGTAAATATCCAGGTATTAGAGTTACAGGTTCACTGCAGTGCCAACACGATTCTTTGCCTGCGCTCAAATTTGATATTACCCAATGACATTACCCAATGACATTATTAACATTTCATATTTGCATATATGCTTTAACATGGTAATGTAATTCTCCAAAGTCATTTTCAATGTCTTTACCTTGTGGCTTAGATTAAAATAATACCTGATGACCCTGGTGGTGAATGTCTTTGTGCACTCACTTCCTGCTATAAGGTAACAACGCTCTGTCCCTGTCTCTTAAATGTGTTTCTGTATTGTCACCCTGTTACATGGGCTTCTGATGGTGACTTCAAGTAGCTGTCCCACATTATTTATGAATATTCCACTGCTGTCCATCAGAAAACCCACTCTGGGAAATGCCATGCAGCCATCACAGTAGTGCATGTATATAACCCAAAGTGGCTGCATAGAGGCTGCGGAAGATTGGAGCAGAACTAAGAGGCAACAAAGGATGGAAATGTTGGTAATGCAACAGCATATACTGATAATTTGTCTTTTGAGCTGTAGATGGTGATGTTGTACAATGTTACTCTCGATATGCATGCTTATCTATGATACACCGGAAGCTGTTTTTTCTATCGTGTTACATTACTAACCTCTGTACTGTGCGCTACATTACCGACCTCTGTACTGTGCGTTACATTACCGACCTCTGTACTGTGCGTTACATTACCGACCTCTGTACTGTGTGTTACATTACCGACCTCTGTACTGTGCTTTACATTACCGAACTCTGTACTGTGCATTGTACCGCTGACTTCTGTACTGTGCGTTACATTTCTGAGCTCTATACTTTGTGTCACACCGCTGACTTCTGTACTGTGCATCATACCGCTGACCTCTGTACTTTGTACATTTCTGCAACGTGGAACCTGAAGGGAGGCACCACTGCAGTTCATCTACGCTGCTAACCAGTCTTGTTGCTGTCCATCTGTGACATCTTGATGCTTTTGTTGTGTCCCCAAACACGTGTTTATTGTGTTTACCCAAGAGTCACAGTTTATATTTTTCCCATATGGTGCAGTTAGAAAAAAAAATTAACTGATTCATATGTGAAAATCATGACACTGGAGTCTTCAGGACCCTGTTGATAGCCAATAGGAAGTGCCTCATCACTGGCCAGCGACATGTACACCTAGAAGTAGAAGGACTTTCCCACTCTGTAGTCCAGAAAATTGAAGACTCAGGGCCCAGTGTGCCACATGACCACAGATTCAGGTAAGTTGGGGGGGGTAGGTTAGTTTTAGCTTTTTTATACATACATGTTATTCTTTCTGGGATGATGATGTCTACTGATTCCTTTCTCAAGGAATTGTGAGGTCATATTCTTAGTGCTTCTTTGCTGTAGTCACCCAGTTTGCAGCAATTCCTCCACAGGCACAAAATGGACCCTTTGGTATAGTCATTAACCATTTCTGCATATGGCAACAAGTAGGTAAGATGTCAAATGTTGTCAAGCTCACCAATAAACTTAATAAATAAAGACTCCCAATGGGCCATAAACATAGCCCAGTAGTGCACCTGACACAGACCCTTTTCTCTAGAAGAATTAAACCGATCAGCATTATGGCCACACGCCTAATATTGAGAGGGTCCCCCTTTTGCTGACCCTTCGAGGCATGGACTCCACTAGACCTCTGACAGTACGCTTTGGTATCTGATAGGGATTCACCGATACCGGTATTTCGGTATCGATTACGAGTACAGATATTTTTTTTCGCTACTCGCCAATACCGAGTACCGGAAGTCCCATTCAGGAAGCCAGGAGGCGTGTAACGCCTCGCCAACTGGCTTCCCGATTAGCAGGGAAGCCTTCCCCATGCTTCTCGTCACTAGGTGACGAGAAAGCATGGAGCCGGCTTTCTGGCCAATCAGGAAGCCGGGCGCTGTGTCATGATGTGGTGTCCGGCTTCCTTATTGGCCAGGAAGCTGGCTCCATGCTCCCTTGTCACCTCATGATGAGGGAGCATGAAGCCAGCTTCCCGACCAATCAGGAAGCTGGGCGCCGCGTCATTACGCAGAGCCTGGCTTCCTGATTGGCTAGCTTCCGACTAATCAGGAAGCCGTGCAGCGCATCATTACACACTGCCCGGCTTCCCACAAGTGACGAGAGTATGGAGCTGGCTTCCCGGCCAATCAGGAAGCCAGGCAGCATGTAATGACACGCTGCCCGGCTTCCTGATACCGTAAGGATTGGGCTAGGCATCGGAGCATTAGGGCGAGTAGGAGTACTCACCTAAATACTCAGCATCGGCACCGACACTAGTATCGGTATCAGTGCATCCCTAGTATCTGGCACTAAGCTGTCAGTAGCAGATCCTTTATGTCCTGTAAGGTGCGAGGTGGATGGGATGGATGTCCTCCATGGATTGGAGTTGTTTTTCTAGCACATCCCACAAATGCTTGATTGGATTGAGATCTGGAGAATTTGGAGGAAGTCAACGCCTCAAACTCCTGGCAACTGCAGACTTGGATCATCCCACAAGAGATGCCGTCTTGGAGTTGCTCTCACCCAGTTGTCTAGCCATCACAATCTGACCCTTGTCAAAGTCAGTCAAATCCTCACGCCAGCCAATTTTTTTCTGCTTCTAACATATCAACTTCAGGGATCAAATGCTCACTTGCTGCCTAATATATCCCACCCACTTCCAGGTGCCATTGTAATGAAATAATGTTATTCACTTCACCTCTCAGTGATCATAACGTTATGGCTGTTCGGTCTATATAGAATAAATATTGATCATCTGGAGAGGAGACCCCAATCTGTTTAATTCCTTTTTTGATCAAGCTTAGTTTATATCATCATACTTTTGTTGTTTCCCCAACAACGTGGGGTCTATTTATCAATGGTTTCACCCAAAATTCATACAACTTTCAGCCAAGATTCATGGTTTACATTTTTCACATATGATTCAGTTAGAAAAATGTGTGAATCTTGGGTGAAAGCATTGATAAATAGTGCCCATATTTCTATTGATTTTAGGTTTAAAAATGATATCAGAAAATGGTAAAATACAAACCCAAACTTTCCAAAAATCATTAGAAATAAACAGTTTTATCTGATCTACCAGCTGCTTTATGCAGAAAAAGTTAGAGCTTGTGGAAGAATAACAGCAAACTGGGTGACTACAACAAAAAAATATATGACCTCACAATTGCTTGAGAAAGGTTTTGTGTCTTGATACCTGGACAGAGAAGTCCAGTCTGCAGGAGGAATACAAATAGATCTTTTGAAATATAAAAGACAAAATTTATTTTGGAGAAGTTGATCAATCAATTGATTTTGTGCCATTGTTTCCCATATACAATTCACAATTTGGCTATACACAGAAAAAGATAACAAAGTTCTTGGCACTCCTGAAAGGGGACAAACTATTGCGCAGTAATAAGTTACCAGGTGGACAAGTTCATAGAAAAGATGTCAAAGGTGGAAAGTGGATATTTCAGACAGACACGATTATTCATGTTATTATTTTAAATGCACCTAGGCAGAACGACACTACGCATTTGCGTTATAGGGTACTGCAAATACAGATGGGAACCATCTATGCGCTGTGGTGCACTATATTACAAATAATCGTATGCAGACCGTCACCTCAGAGGAAGTCAATAGTGACGAAATGCATCTGATGGGCGGATCTATGCAAGCATTACGATCATAGAGACAGGAGCTCCAGTGGACACAATCCATACGCAATTGCCTTATTTTAATTGTAAGTGCATTTTAATCGTTTTAAATAAATTTATTCTGACATATTACACTATGGGAAGCCTTTTTTTCTCTCTCTGAGCACAAGAGAAGGTGGAAGATGGAGGAATAGTTTTACACGATTTTGGAAAGATAAGCCATAGTTGGGAGGAATCTACCCCAATTTATTGTCGGATTAAAAACAAAGGAGAGGATTTGTTTCTATATATATCAGCAAAGCGCTAATTGTTCATCTGAATTATGGTGAGCAATAGGAGTCGGTGAGTGCGGCCAGATCTTATCTTTGAGCACGGTGGAGACTGGAGAGCACTGATTCACTAATTGTTTTTGCATTCACGGATGTTGGTGTTGACTATAAAAGCAGGAAGATATATCCTCACATAGAAGGACTTTATTGTATCTAGAAGTAATGGACTTCACACATGGTTATGTAGATTAAGAGGGAGTTATACATCACTTGTGAGATTCAACACAGGATTTTCTATATGTACACATTTTATGAGATGTACTAGCACAGTTTTTTGTTTTTTTACTATCATCAGCACAGGCATTGTGCAACACAGGTGTTGTGTATGACACAAATTTGCATATTCCTTTGTGACAATTTCACATTTTATACTATTTTTTCACATTTTAGGAATATAATTTTCGAGTTTGAAGCGCAGTGCTATTTTCTTTTTTCCATTACAAATAATCAGCTGCATTAGGACAGTTAGGTGCCAAAAGTGCATCTCAGTTTTTCCATGCAATAAGGTGCCTGTCAGCCCATTCTAAACTAATGTACTTCCTTAAAGCAACTAATTTTAAGGCGGAACTCCTGGGAAATTTAAGGGAAAAGGTACTCTCCCTGCACTGCAAGGGTTAAATGCTCTTTTTGTTTAGTGGTTTTACTTACCTTACCTTAGAATGAGCATTTAACCCTTACAGTACAGTGAGGGGGAGCCCCACTGCAACTGAAACTTTACATTTTCCCCAGAGTTTT